TCTAGTAAGGACGAGGCACGCTATGAATATGTTTTTTTTTTTTAATAATGATAATATTTAGTTGATGTAAATGTGTTTGGAAAAATAAAAATAATTAGTGATCTAAGATATAATACAGACTGAAATTAATAAGCTAATGTTATTTTAATTAAATAATAAAAAATAATATTAATCAAATAATATTTTAAAAAAATTATAATATCTATTAAAAAATTCAACGAGACCATAAAATTAGATAAAAAGAGATTAAAAAATTGGATTGAGTTAATAAATGCTGAAGAATATAATATAAGGGGGGAATAATTGCACAATATGATCTAAATTCAAAAAATATAATTAAAATAACAAGGGAAAATATTAAAATAAAAAATAAATTAGAGAGTAACTAAATTTTTCCAATTAAAAGATTAAATTTAAAAGAAAAATAACTAATAAAATTGAAAAAAAATAACACAAAAATAAACTTTGTTCTAGATACAATATTAAAAACCAATAAAACTTTTATAAAAAACAAGAATAAAATCCAGAAAATAAAAATCAAATAAAAAATGTATGAAAAATTGAAATTAAAGTATCAAGACAAAAAAAAAATAACACCTCTACAAAAAAGTAAAGGATGAGAAAATAAACAAATGATACAAATTTTTGCATAGATTGTTAAATTAATCAGAAAATTAACTCTGGAAAAAAAAATTGATGATCAAATTGAAAACAATAACATAAAATAAAGTTGATTGAATAGTTAAAATTTTTGCATAGATTGTTAAATTAATCGAAAAATTAACTCTGGAAGAAAAAATTGATGATCAAATTGAAAATAATAACATAAAATAAAGTTGATTGAATGGTCAAATTGAAAAAACATATATAAAAGGGTCAAGTAAAAGAATCAAAAAAATAAAAATTAAATTGAAAAATATAATATATTACAAAATTAAATTAAATGACTAAATTGAAATGAACAAAACTCCTAGAAAAGAGTCAATGATAAAAATTAAAAATCAAAAAAAGAATAACCACATCACAAATAAAAAAAACAAAAAAGACCAATCACCAATGTTTTTGAAAGAAGAGAGAAAAAAATTAAAAAAAATACTTATTAATAATAAATCATTTACTTGTTGATAACACATGTCTCGGTACTAGCTAAAAAAAAACGCGACAACGCATTTAACTACATGATGAATAGTTAAGTTCAATAATAGGAAGGTGTTACGACATCTAAAGTGCATAAAAACTTTTCACACGGAATCTTTTTGAATTCTAATATTATTTTATTATGGTAAAATATAATAATATTATTGATAAAGCAGATAAATAATAAAATAACCATGCAAAAATACATAAATATTATTCGTCTGAAAACTTTGATTGTTTTAATTTAAAAGGCATTTTAGCAATCTGACCATTATCTAAAATAGAAAAAACTTGATAATACTCCTGGATGAAAGGTATGTAATTTTGTTTTTATTTTTAATAGCAATCTAGTATTTTTAATGTTCATATAAAATAAAATAATCCTAATATCTTTTTATGAAAAGCCATTTATTATTTGAACTAGAGAATAATTAATAATTTTATTGTCATCGTTCATGATGAAATGTATTTAGAATTATGGTGAAAATACTAGTAAAATTCCTTTTTTATTTAGTATATTTGTTATGTGTTTGATACCGTGGAAAAAAGTAATTTTACGAGAGATTAGAAAGGAAAGAAGTTGCTATAGAAAAGGGTTTTTTTTTGTTATTAAATCAAAACTCCCAGAATAAACTTCATTTTTTAATGATATTTTACACCAATTTATCTATAAAATATATTGAAATTTATTGAGTGGAGAGAGTCTTTGACATGTGAAGCAATGAGAGAAGTGACTGAAGCTTGAAGATTTTGACACGTGGCTTGGATAAGGATGAAGAATGAGACAATGGAAGGTGACAATGAAATACACGTGATGTGAATATGTGATAGAAATAAAGAGGAAAGAAATGTGAGCTTCGTTATAATTATAATTGAATTTATAACCATTATAATATATTTATTTAATTGTCCAATAATAAATTCTTATCATAGCTGAGTTAGATGACGGGTTTGGTTTTTGCTGTCAGCAACGCAATCTTTTCATCTCAACAAACAACCCATTGTCTGTATATGTTTTTTATTTTAAAAATAAAGGACAGGTGATAAGTCGAAGATCACATGTTTTAATTTAATAATTTAAATTATTAAATGAAATTTTAGAATGTAATATATATTATTTTTAATATATTTTTAAATAAAATTTTGTTGGACTTTAAATTTATACAAACTCATATTATTTTATACTTATATTTTATCAAATAAATAAAAATAATAAAATTTAAATTTATAATTATTTAATTGCCAATCCTTTTAAATATTACGAGAAATTAAAGGTGATTATATCTCTTTTACAGTCATGTACTACATAAACTAGAATTTCTTTTAAGATTTATAAAATTACGAGGTAATTAAAGGTGATTATTCAAACATGAAATCAGCAGTTTTCGAACTTTTTCTTGAAAGAACAATGAGAGTAGTGTTGTCTGTATTTTTTTTTTAAAAAAAAAAAACCATTTTTGCAATCAGGACACCGGCCGCGCCCGGTAAAACATATGCATTTAAAAATGATTTTCAAAATGCATTAACAGAAATATTAAAATAAAATGGTGTTTTTGAACAGTTAAATCACCGTAGAAATGTGGCAAGTTTTGTAAATTTCTCAACTTTTTTTTGGCTGCTTTCATGTTGCATTTTCGTTATTTTCTCATCTGTTTTTTTTCTTATCTTAAAGTCTTGATTTTTTAATTTCGTCATCCCATGTCACATTTTATATGTTTTTTGCTTCAAGAATTTCTTCTATTTTGCATTTCTTGGCGTATTCATGGTCTTGGAGATCCTCCATTATTTATTGGAATTGATTTTGCATGATTAAATTATAATCATTGTTAAAAAAATAATTAAAAGAATATGAACTAAAATTTAGAGTCCCAAAAATAAGTCCCTTTTATATTTTTAATAAATTACAAATAAAAATTAAAATAAATAAAAAGAAGATAATCAAAGTTACTTGATTCATCACACAACACCATAAAAAAATCTTTGTTTAAACAATTCCAACAACATCAAAAATAAAAATAGCCATCATTAGTGCTTGGAGGAAGTTGCACGCATAATGTAGCAACCTTTTGATGCATGTAATATTTTATTTTTTTTATTTAATTTAAATTTTTAATTTTTAATAATTTTTTAATTTAGATTTTTACTTTTTAATAACTCTTTTATTTTATTTTTATGGGTTCAATTTTATCTATAATTCTTTAATTTAATCCTGAAATTTATTTAAACTTAACTCAATAAAGATTGAAAAAGATAACAATATAAGAGGAAAAAAAAAAAAACTCAGCCACCAAACACAACAAGATAACAAAATTTACGGTCCTAAAAAAAATTATTGTTAAAAAAGTATAATTATCATTGCAAGATTAAATTATAATTATTGTTAAACATTAATTAAAAAAATGTAAACTAAAATTTAAGGCCCTAAAATTTGAAAGTCGCTTTTGCATTTTTAATAAACTATGCATAAAAATCAAGATAGAGAAAAAAAAGATGATCAAAGTTACTTAATCCACAACATAATATCATGAGAAAAATTTTTATGGATATGATTCCAACAACATTAAAAATAGCTATCATTGATGCTTAAAGAAAGTTGCATGCACCTTGTAACAATTTTTTTTATATTTAATACTGAAATTTATTTATAATTTTTAATTTATCCAACTTAACTCAATAAATATAAATATCCTATTGGAAAAAGATGACAATACAAGAAAGAAAAAAATAAAATAATCCAACCGACCAAACACATCAAGAAAATAAAAATATCTCGCGCCTTGAATATATATATATATTTTTTTTGCAGTGATTGTTTTTAACTATCTAATTTATACACTTTAAAATAATAACATATGTTATCAACTATAGGGGTAAAAAGAGAGGCGATCAAATACTTTGAAGCCATGCCAGGTAGAGTAGAGAGAAAGATTTAAGGTTTACCTTCATAACAGGATTTAATTACAACTTTTTTGTTTTTTTTTTTTAAAAAAGTCTGACCTGAGGTATAGCACGGCAAGTAATATAGTTTATTTTATATTAAAAACTTTTTGTTTTATTTTATTTTGTAAGAACATAGATGTAGTTTTACAAAACACGTACTGAAACCTGTCAGTTGGCTATTATTACCAATCAGATGCGAAGTGGTAGTAGTATGTATTATTACCCTGTACTGATACAGACCAAGTACCTGCAACAGCAGCGAAAGCCAACAAGATGAACAAATTGACTTGTCAATGCGCGTGGAAACATTATTTCTCAGTGTTTCTGAATCAATTCTCCATCCATCAACTCTTGGATTTTTGAAGGAAAAAAAAGACTTTTTTTTTTAATGAATTTTGGTAGAATAACATGTAATTTAAAATTCCACGAAAATATAATGGCTCAATGAAAAAATTCAAGATTTAATGCTTAAAAAAAAGGGAAGATATAGCCGGAGATAGAAATAAAAAGAAAATAATTAATCATAAAAAATACAATACATTTTTTATATTTTTAGTATGGTAAAGATTTTTTGATAACTCATCATTTTTTGTTCATTAGATTCTGAATTTCATTTATTGTTTTTGAATTTTTATAAAAAATTAGATTGATTTTTATAATTATTAATTAATTTGAATGAGAAATAACTTTTAGAATTACAAAAGACCCAAACTGTTCACGTTCAAATCTAAAGCCCGCCTCCTGTCCCTGTCCCTGTCCCTGCTTTCTCTTCGTTTCCATGTTTCTTTCTTTTCTCTATCTAAAAAAGAAATATATTCAAATCTCTCCTTTTCTTTTCAACTCCTCCCTTTTTCTTTGTTATGCTCTAGTTTTCCTTTTGGCAAAGAGCAAACCCCATAGCCAATTCTCACTCCTGAGTTATGCTCTAGTTTTCCTTTTGGCAAAGTTGAAATCCCGCAAACCCCATAGCCAATTCTCACTCCTAAACACTACTTCAAAGTATACTTGGTTTCTTGATTTTAACTACTACCTTTTTTGGGGGGAAGATGAAACTGTTACCGTCTCCTTCTATCTCATCTTCCTCCACTTCTTCTTTTGATCCAAATACGTGCACTTCAAAAAGTGCCACTGCTAGTTGCCTTACGGGTCTTCTACGTCGAATTCTCTGCTCTCGCAGCCTCCCTACACACCCATCTGACCAAATCACTGAAACCAGTTCAATACCTTGTGATGGTAGACACCAAGAACTCATCAAGTCAAATGAGAAACTGGAGACCACTGCTGCTAATCCTGGTGTTGTAGCTAGGCTAATGGGATTGGAGTGTTTCCCTGAAACTAGTTCAGTTGATATGAAAGTCTGTGCTAACTCGATATCAAGAAGTCGGTCGATGAATTCTGTGGAGTTTAGAGGTGAAAGCGATCAAATGCAAAGACAGCATAGAAGGGTTAAGAGTAGTACATTGTCGTTTCGGGAGATGCCAACTTTTCTTGAGGCAGAAAATAAGGAATACTTTGTTCTCAGCTTTGAGAATATTGGGAGTGAAAGCAAGAAAGTTAGATCTAAAGAGAGGAAATGTGAAGTGGGTTCTGGAGAATTGAAGGAGAAAAGAAGAGAAAAATGTAAAAGGAAGGAAAACAGAAGAGAGAAAGCAGTAGAATCAGAGAAGAGAGAAAGAGAAGAGAAAATCAACAAGATGGTTTTGAAAGTTTTAAATGAGTCAGAGTTGAGCAACAGAATATTAGAAGATCATAAGCCTGCTCAAGAAGCTGGCAATGGTGGCAAAATTGAAGATTCACCCGCTCACATGAGTCTAAAGGACAGTGAAATAGTTTACTTGGAAAATAAATGGTTGTATCATAAGGAAGTCCCTGGCATTGGAGCAGAATTAAGAAGGAGAAACAAGAAAACAAAAGGATGTGCATTCAAAAATGAGGAAGCAGAGATCAGCTCACAGGATTCCAGCCCTGTTTCTGTTCTTGATTTTGATCAATTCATCGTTGATCCAGACGTTACTAAATCAGGTGTCATTCTCCTCAGTTCAGCTCAGATTCTAACATCTTTAGGCACAATTAGTAGTTGGTTTCATTTTCCTTTCTGTTTTTTCATATCAAGAGTTGATGTATCGTGTTCTCAAAATGTTGTTTCTTTTTGTTTATGTAACAGAGGAAGATACAAAGTCAGGGGAGTCTAATTCGAGGAGGAAATTATCCCCTCAACTTGAGAATCAAAATCACAAACACTTGTCACAACGCAGTGATGGTAACTTGATCTTCGACGACCGAAATTCCAATAAAACTGAAGAACCTTGTCCAGGGTCGAGGAAGAAAGTTTGCCATAATCATGACTACTTAAACATGTGGGATGAAGTTTGCAAGCTGACAGAAACTCAAGTGGTCGAGACAAATTTGAATGCATACAAAAATATGTGTAAATTCGAAGAAGATTTTGAAGAGATCAGTGCAGATTTTGGGGTGCAAATCTTGGATCAGTTGTTACAGGAGCTTGTAGATCAACTTGCTTGACTCTTGCCATGAAAAAAAAAATCAACTAGTAAGATTATACTTTTTGTAAATTATATTATTACAAGAAACTCAGAATCTAATCTCTACCTTTCGAATCTCCCCGCCGCAGAATTTAAATTCAAACTCCCCGAAGATGTTGCGCTATTTTGATCCTAGTAAATAATTTGTTACAGGAAAAGAGTTGTCTTTTTTTTCTTTTTGTCTGCTGTCTTGCTGAACACTTCAGTCTTGTTTTGGGGTTTTGGTTGAACAATTTTTTTATGCTTTAAATTTTGAATATTTTTATGTTTCAAATTAAACTTTTTTAGTATTAATATTAAAAATAAATTTTAAAAAATAAAAAATAAATTTTTAAATAAAAATTACTTCAAAAAACAATCTACACTAAAATATCAAAATGCCCTTTGAGCGCATGTGGGGGCAGCCAGCCGAAGAAGCATATTTTTAAATAAAAATTACTTCAAAAAAAATCTAAACTAAAATATCAAAATGGCCTTTAAGCTCATGTGGGGGCAGCCAGCTGAAGAAGCTTAAAGCATCATGTTCCTGCAAATTAAGGACAACGGACAAAGTGTCCTATCATCCAATTTTGAATATTAGATCACCAGACTAAGCATTTTCTTATTTAGATCCCTCAAGTATCAAACGTTACTCAATTAACCCTCACGTTTGATACTCTTTAGGAAAAACATTTAGACCATAGCATGTTGTTTTTGTCACAAAATTCAGTTTAAACATCATAAAATACTCATTTTTTAGTTTTAATTGGTATGAAATTATAGTTTCATACTTTAAAGTGTTATTGATATGAAATTTTTATTTTAATTGGTATACAAAATTTTTTATTAATATTTTTTATTTATTCTTTTTACTTTACTTTTATGGGTTAATGATAAATATTGTCCTCGTATTCCAAGCAAGTGTTAATTGGATCTTGACACTAAATTAATTTGTTAAATAGTCTCGACAAAATCTCTATGTTTTTTTTTTTGTAATTTCAATAAATGCTTTCTGTAATAAAAATTAGAAAGAAAAAAAAATAACAAACAGGGTCAACGAGGTCAAAGTTCATATATCGTTGCTTATGTAAAATCTACTTAACTCGGTCAACAAAATCACTAGTAAAAAGCTTACATTGAATCAATTAGTTTACTATAGCTGTATAGGATCTATAAGCAACTACTTAAGTAGGCACGTTGGCTTTAATCATCAATTACTTGGATGGTACAGATCATGATCTTTTATATATATATATATATATATATATTAAGTCATTTCTTCAATTATTATAATTAAAATAATTTTAAAATATAATACCAGTGTTTAATTAAAAAAAATACTAATAGAGCTAAATATTTAACCATGCATCAAGACACGTTATTGTAAATTGTAGCAATGAAATGAGTGTTTTGTCAAAATTATCAAACAGAGTCATTTAACTAAAACAATTTTTATTTTCATAGGATCTATATGCCATTGTAATATTAAACATGAATAGATTGGTCTTTTTATATTTTTGATGTATAGTAAAATGATTTAAATATTTTTAAAAAATAAAAATAGATTCAAAAGCTTTTCAGTCTGTATCATTAGGTTGCATAGTAAAATAACTACATATTGTTATTTAAAAAAATAAAAAATAAAACTAGCATTTAAGGGCATTTTAGTATTTCTATCATGTTTTCTTTGTTATAGTCATTTTGGATGAGGGTAATTTAATCTATTAACAACTATAAATATAATTTTAAAAAATAAAAGTAATTACCGTGTGCTCCACCTCCCTTCACCAAAGACCACTACGAACAATAATATTTGAAGTGTCACGTCGTTCTCTTTGGTCAATGCGTGTGAGAAGAGATTGGGCTCCAGCAAATTTGTTTTCGTTTCCTTTCTTTTTTGTCTGTCTCTCCTTGCATTGAATTTCATCATAACCCTTGTAAAAAGTAGCTGTTTTTTCTGAGATTGTATTTGTATTAATTTCGCCCATAATTATTTTAATTGTTATTTATATTTTTTATGTTTTATAAAATTTCTTTTTAATTTTATTCTCAAGCATTTTATTTTTTTATTGAATTTGAGCCTTATTTTTTATTTTTTTAATTTAATTTATTTTTTAATTTAATCTTTAAATATTTAATTTTATTTAATTTTTGTATTTAATTTTATCATTATTTTTTTATTGCTATTTTCATGCTTTTTGCTTTTTTCTTGATTTTTTTTCAATGTAATCCCTTGTTATTTTTTTAATTTAGTTTTTATATCAAATTTGATCTTTGTTTTGATTACCACTTTTCTTCATGATTATAAATTTTACTTAGTGATTTTTTCATGTTTGCTTTCAATTGGGTGATCTTGGTCTCATAACCCGAGTCACCTATTTTGAGGATTAACTCGATTTAATTTTGAATTTTTTAATTTTTTTTAAAAATAATTTATTATTCGACATTGGGTTACTGAGCCTTGAACTTCATGATTTTTTTAAAAATTTTTAATGAGATTATCTCGATCTCAAATTTAGGGTATCGAGTTAGTCGAATTAACTTGAGTTAACTTATTTTTTTATATTTGATTTTTAAATTGATTTTTTTAAATTTTATTATTTAGTTTGCTTAAGAATTGACCTCTATTATTTTATTTAATTTTTTTTGTTCAGCCTTATCTCCATTTTACTATCATCTTGTAGGTTTGGTATGCGAAGTCAAGTTATTTTTTAAAAAAATTAAATTTTTTTCTTTTTCTTTACTGGTAATTGAATTTTGTATTTCTTTTATTTTTATTTTTATTAGGCTATTTTATTCTTATTTAATTTTGACCTAACCCGCAATATACTACAAAACACCTATCAAATAAAAACTATAAATGAAAATTCATATCTTTTTTTTTTGGCTGGTAAATCTCACCTTAAAGTATTCATATATTGATTTGGTTGAAGATTTCAATTCCTTTTTTAATGTTATAGATTAGTTTGAGACCATGGGAGTAAAGTGGGCACAGTTTAATGTGGGATCCAGCCAAGATTTTCAATTTTTTTTCTGGAATCCAAATAACAATCTGATGATAATTGAGGGATAAATCAAATTATAGACAGAGTGCGAATACCACCTGTACTTGGTAGGTTGAAGAGGCACAGCATGCCCAGTTGCTACCCGATTTAATCTGATGCTTTCCACTGCTTAATCAAGATTCCGAGATTTGGCTTTGCTTTTTTCTTTACTCAAAAGAATCCAAAACGATGACTTGGATTACAAGCTAATGATGTGCGTTTTGAGACTTTGCATGCACGTTGTCACCCCCCGAAGCTTATCTCCCTGTCTTCACCTGTTTTATTAGTTTATAGCTGAGCAATATCTTAATTGCCGTGAATGCTAAATCCACTTGACTAGGTCCATTCCAAGCAATTTTTTATTTTATTTTTTTCTCTCTTGAGAAACAATGCGTGGTGAAGTCATGCTTTACCCCAGCAGCAAATAAGGAAGAATGTTTTGTCTCTCGAATTAAAATATATCAAATCCCAGTAAAATAAGTTAAGCAAGTAAATTATTCTCATGAGGCGAGCAATTTAGGCAGCGCCACTAGAGAGAGATGTAGGTTTCAGTGTGCAGCAGTAGGGTTTTGGCTTCTAATGAAGAGGGAGGCTTGGAGCACCAAAGCATCCTCTCTTCTTTTTCTCTCTTCGAGTGCACCACTACTTTAGAAAGTGTTTTGAAGATACAAAGCGGGTAATGATAACTAGACTGCCTTTTCATCAGTGCTCAACAATCTCCCCAACTTGAGAATTATGGAATCAATGAATCCCATCTTTTCCATGCCGAAAGTGAAATGTAGTACTCGAAAAAGAGTGATAGGTGGGACAGCATTGACAAAAGATGAAAGAATGAAGAAAGAAATGGCATCACTACTGGGAGCTAGCATCATCCGTAGATACAGTCCAGGATTTTAACGTCCGTTCTCGTTCTTTTCAACCTCTAGTTTGATGTGGAGTTGTTGGCTACCAGCATCTACTTTCTTCTCCTGCAAAAGGGCCATAGATTGAGACCTCCAATACAACTTGGGAGAATAAGGCTTCCCGTCTACTGAACAGTGAGGTTGATTCATGGCACATCAAGGATAAGAAGAGCTCATTAACATATCAGAACAGAGACAAGATGAGACGCGGGCGGATACAAGAAGCAGAAAGATAACAGGATCCATCGAATTCTGATACATGTTTTATTAAGTAATTACTGTAACAGTTTTTAGTACATATGATGTATACAGCCCAAGAGCTAAAATGAAATCAGGCTATGGATAAAATGAAATCCCTAGGCCACCGCTTCTACTCTCACCAGCACAAGATGATGCTTCCCACTTCTATATGCAAGTGAAAAAGAATCTATTGTTTCTTACGAATATAAGAAATCCTTGAGCAGAAACATTTAGTCATGCCCGGATATCTTTGTTCTCTTCCTCGGTTTTAATTTCTATTTTTTTTTTCCTTTTGTCCTTTATCCAGTTTCTTCATCCTAGATGTGATCAAAACTAATAAAAATTCAAAAAATGGCAAAATAAATAAGTAGTTAAATGATGAATTATGGGCCAAATTGGGGCTGCTATTTGCTTCTAAGCCACCAATGGCTTCTGCTCCATGTACAGCTGCTCCACCCAAGCTGGGAGCGTCTCTGAACCTCCAATGTTAAGATGACACTGCTGCTGCTCCTCAAAACCCAATGGCCCAGATTTTGCAGGAGTATCCTTCACCAGGGACTGTACCCATGAAACATCCGGCTCATCAACAGTTGCTGGCACTGAGGCACCAGCTGTAGCAAAACTGCTACCATTGCTTCGAAAACCAAAAGAAGCAGACTTCCGGAGCTTATTGAGCTCTTCTCCCTGGATACCCCAATCTAATTTTCCATCAGGAGAACCCCAGTCAGCAAGGTTAGAAGGCATTACATTTGCTGAAGATGATGGTGAAGAAAACCCAGTATGACGATTCACAGCACTTCGTTCCACAAAGCTCTGGCTACGCTTTGCAAAGGCAGCAGATCTTGAACTCAAAGCTGCTGCTGCTGCGCCTCCAGAATGATCAACTCCAAAAGATGGTGATCTTCTCACAGGAGATGATGAGAAGCTGGTGGGATAGCTGGACCGAAGCTGCTGGTTGATGTTCTGGCGCATCTGCATCCCTGTTGGAGGCTGCAATTGAGCTACTGCAGCATCCAGTGAGAGTCCCTGCATCTGAGGTAAAATTGAAGGATCAAGGGATCCAAAAATATCTTCAAGGTTAGTAGGCCTCACTCCTCCAAGCCTATTCAACTCCCCAGTTCGATCACCAGAGGCAGCAAAAGCTGAGGCAGTGGACAGACCATTGTTCCAGCTGGAGGGAGATGAAAGACCAGAAATCTCATCCATAAACTGCTGCCTTCGACGGTGACTTTCAAGCCCAAGCAATTCCATGTCTAACTCCATATCTCGAGCACACAACGCAGATTTCAACCTGCTACCAGGAAGCTGCAATGCAGGGGGCACCACATTAGAATGGTTTGTCCATCCACCGATAGGTGAAGAGGAACCGGAGGGAGTTGGTGGGGTTGATGTGGATGGTATCAAGACAGATGGAGAACCAAGGGAAAGCGGGCTTATAGAACTCATGTCCAAAGTTGAACAATTTGCTGAGTAGGATCTAGGAGAAGGCACTGCCGAACCTGTAGAGGCATACAAGGGGCGAAGCTCTTCAGGCTTGTGAGCAAAGAAACACACCCTCCTAGTGCAACCTGTCTCATCTTTACAGAGACGAGTTCTATACTGCGCAGGATGAAGCCAGCACTCAAAAATACCATGTGCATATTCACAGGCATCACCCTGCCTGCAAGACCCCTTTCGAAACTCAGGACATGGAACACAGCTATAGTGGTACTTCCTGGGGTCACGACGCCTAGCATTCTCTCCAGGGTGCACAAATGGGCACTCTGTCCAGTCGTGAGAGTAAGCCCTTGAGCAAGGCTTGACCTTAAATGTATACATTCTAAACTCGTCAGTCCCATATATCCCATTCTTAATATCAGGAAGTGTCAGATCAATAGGATACTCTCTCTTCTCATGCCCGTCTTTTGAAACCCTTGGCGTTGAAATTTCTTGCTGTTCCAGCCCATCCATCTCGTTTACAATTTGATAAGCCAAAACACATGATTCTTCACCACTACTGCCACCCTTTAACATGATCTCCAGGGTCTTTCTCGTTGAATTAGAACCAGACTCAACAACAGGGGCAATCAAGTCACCAGGGTGATTTCCATTGGCATCAACGGAATTAGGATCAGCAGAGGCATCAAGCAAGAGCCTGGCAACCTCATGTGCAGAAGAAGAGCCGCCGGCAGCAGCACAGTGAAGCGCTGTGGCCCCATCAGAACCATACCCTCTGTTGACATCCACATGACCTGTTTCCAATATATAATTCAACACATCTTTGCTTCCGTACAAGGCAGCAATCATGAGGGGTGTCCTCTCCTCAAATCCCATCTTTTTCGAGCCAATTCTCCTTCCATACCACAAACCTGGCGCATCAATATCATGTCCCTCCACTTCAATTGCTCTCTTAAACCCGGTCAAATCATTCGAGGCAGACAACTCGAGCAAAAGAGAGAAATCATAGCAAACCCCATCTTGCTTTTGAAATTCATTCTCCATGTTGAAACCAGTATGTGTTGGTTTACTCTTTGAACCACTGCACATCGAAAAGTTTCTCTCTTAAGAGCATCCACAAAGTCTCTTTTCTACAGAATTGTAAACAAATAAAGCCTTCAAAAACATTTACAAGCACGGGTTTTTAGGTTGTTTTCCATTGCACACAAGGAGAGGGAGAGAGACAACAAGTGAGAAAATTTCGTTAAGGAATAAATTCCATCAAATTCTAAACAAAACATCCATTAAAAAACATTTCTGAAATTTTTGAGCCATCAAATAAAAACAGCAGCAATCCTAAAAGAAAAATTTCAAGAAGCGGAAAAAAAAAACAGAGAGAAATTAGTTAAAATCCAAACAAAAACAACAGCACCATCTAACACACCCTCCTTCCACAACAACAGCACCATCTAACACACCCTCCTCCTTCCTGGTTTCTAATAATAGAAAACAATTCAAAAATTGTTTCTAGCATAATTTCAATAAATATTAAAGTAAACACCCCCACAACTCGAATCCCAGTCTTTTACCTACATTTTCTAACAAACCTAGTATTGTCAAAAACCCACCAAGGCAAACAAAACCCATCATCGAATCATAACAAACATAAGAAAATACATACCTTGGCTTCAAATGTAAGAATATGAGAGCTTGAATGTAAGAACTGAACTAAACCCTGAGCTGCTTTGTTCTGGGTTTTTTTTTTCAAGTTAATTAACCTCTCTCTCCTTTTATTAAACTTCAAAAAGCCAAAAAACCTCAATAAAGAAGGAAAGAGAGACCTTTTGGCTTCTCTCTTTTAATGGGGCTTTTGTTAAGGTCAAAAGGTCTGCGTCTTTGAAACCACCCCCTGCTTCTTCTATGGCTCCTCCTATATTTTTTTACTTCTACTTTTTTTCATTTATTTTTTATGTTTCCCTCTAAGGAAAATGAAATGCAGATGCTGATGCAGATGCAGATGCAAATGCAAATGTAAATGCAGATGAAATTTTGTGTGAGTGGAAGGTAGGGGCCACGAGGTTCTCAATATCTAACCGTATCGATTGTTAGGTTGCCACGTGTTGAGAACCCGATAGAAACCGCCCTCACCTAAAGGTGACCGTATCGACATTCCGGATTGTCACGCTTTTCGCGTTTGTGGCCTCTTTTGGATGACGTGGACGTACCTTCACCGTCGACATGATTTTAATCCTATTCGTTGCTTAATTATACTAAACCCACTACCTGTGATGTAAGGTTATAAAACAAGTTAGTTATATTGGTGAAAGCGAGTGCATAAAGCTGCGATGATTAGCTGTTTTCTCTATAGAGTGAACGAGCTGTTAATTTGAGCTGGATATTGTTTCTTTAAGTGTAAGGAAAAAGCGCCACCGAGGGATAGTTTCCAGACCCGGTCGGGATTGTGGTTTTGGATTTTAATCGGGTTATTAGATCACTTGAATTATTTTTTTAAAATTAAAATAATATTATTTTAATAAAAAATTAATAAATTATAACTGAATTTTTAATTAAATCTTGTCAAGTTATTAGATTATACCAATTTTTTTTAAGCTCAATCTAATTTTAATCTCAAATTAACTGGATTTTAAATTGATATGTTGAATCGTGCTGGATTTCAAAATTATGGACTGAGGAATGAATTCTTGAAGGTAGAGACGTACGTACGGTGGTCTTTTAAGAATGTAATATTTTAATATTATTATATTAAAATAAAAAAATATTTATTTAAAGTTTTTTTAAAAAATAAAATTTTTAAAAAACTCCTGCAACAAGCGCTTCGATGTTTTCTAGAAAGCTCCGTCGCCTGTTTCAAAATGTAACTTTGAGGTAATGTGTGGCAGAGAGACGCAAATAATTGGGCTTTTAGATAATTTTTCATCTTTCAGAGGAGTGACATGGGAAACAAAAACGAAGGCATAATCAAGTTGAATTTTATTTTTATAAATATCCCTTTGAGCATTTTATAATTTTATTTTATAAATTTTAAAATATTTCTTAATATTGTAATTATATTAAAAGCTTGTTTGTTTCATTTCATTAAATCAATGTGAAAAAATAAATTGCTCAAGATAAATAGTAACTTATTTTATATAATTAAGTAATTTTTAAAAATTAAAAAAGTGAATGAATCAGAGTTAATTATTTTTTTATAAATTAAATAAAATTAATTAAGCAAAGAGTGATTTTTATTTAAAAAATATAAGAAGAAAGTTTTTTACTAAATAAGTGTGTTTTTTAACATTGAGAAAGAAAATTAAAATGTCCTTTTGAAAACTTAATAATGTAATTAAAACATATATATAATAGAGAGAATTAAAAATTGATCACGTTCTGAGATAAATTATATTTAATAATAAAGAAGTGAGGACTTAGATAATAACAAAAAAAAAATGCATGTACGAGCTTACTCGGGTTTAGATCTCCACACCAAGATTTATATTTTTTTTCCTGTTTTATTTACCTAAAATTTATTTTTATCGATTCATATTAATGTACTCTGTATCTAACTGTTAATTTTAACAAAATTAATTTGGTAGAGGGGCATTTAAATCATGCGAATAGTCTAAAGGTTAAATTTTTTTTTTATTTACACAGAAAGGTATGATTGATTAATTATATAATATAAATGGCACATTAATAGGTTCTTTATATTTATATAAATGGCACATTAACTGAATATCAAGCATGAGCGAATAGGTTTTACACTTGATTTTGACTCGTTAAAAAGAAAGAGTAACACTACACAAACCAATCTAGAAAAAAGCAAACATAAAGATAAAGGAAAATAAAAGGTGTAAAAGTTGTAAAGTACTGGATGACTTTTTTTACATTGTTATAAAGTTTAAGTTTCATCTAAACTTCCGATCATAATTATATATAAATTATTTATAGCATATAAAAAAATTATATTATGAGTTATAATAATCATATCCGTGTATCTATCTCTTTCCTGCCTGCTAATCATGTAAACTCTTATTATTATGGTCAATTACTTATTTTCAATTAATCATGACTTTTCATATCCAACTGATTTTATTATTGATAATCGATTTTAACCTTATTTTTTTGCCTGACAAAAAACAATTACTATTTTAAAAAATAGTTCACACATGAAAATTTGTTTTTGTTGTAAACAATAGCCTTTGATTTGTAGACCAAATAAAGGAATTTGATATGCCATTTACTTTGACATTAATTCATAAATTGATAATGGTTGATATGACAAATTAATATTGTTCGTCCAAAATATCAACAATATTTCACCATTTTTTTAACAAGTCTAGAAAAATATTGGTGATACAGGAATACTTCATTAAAAGTTATGTTGATCATATAATAACTATTATTGTATCTTGTGTTTATGCCACTTAGTATAACTGTATCTTTTAAGTATGAAAATATTTTCTTATCACCAAATTATACCTTGTTTAGATTCACCTTAAAATCTTATCATTTATAAAGGATGATATGACGAAGTAGTTCACCTTTATACCTTGTATATAGAATTGTGTTTTCTAATCTTTATGTTTCAAATTCTTGGCTTTATCATTACTAGTTTATCTTTTTTCAATTATAACATTTGTAATTAGTTTTATCCTATGTTATGGTCGATCATACCTTACTTTTTTAATTTCTCATTGTGAATGAATCCTTCTAGCTAAGACATAGATGTTGTCACATTGAAGAAATGGTCATTATTCATCTTTACTTTATTTTTTAGAAAAAAAATGCAACTTGATTCTCATGTCCTCTAGATTTGATTTTCAAGGATAGCATAATTATTAGTGTCATGTATCTATAAGTCATGTAACTCATATTATTTATTTTTATTGATTTGTTTAGTAATGAGGATCGTGTAGTTTTTAAGAAGTTTGATTTTTCCCTCACGTATTAACATTTCAAAAATTTCTTTAACTTTTTTATGTTAAAAAAGTATTTTTTTCCCTGATCGATCATTGTAGTAACCTTAGCTTCTTTATTACTGGGTTTGCAAGCCTTTTTCAACTTTATTGGTATGACAATCTCAGATGGTTTACCTTTCTTAATATTTGTAACCAACATTAGTTATTATTGATCTTATTCAAGCTCTTCATCAAAGTTTAAGTTAATCATCAAATGAACCATTGTGATCTTATTCAAGTAGTCAACTAGGTAAGTCCCTATATGTGGATTTGTTTCCACTTGTTATCCCAACATCTTTTTATTAAGCAAAATTATATATAAGAATGTATATTTAGTCTTTTTATGAACCTTTTTCTAATATTTTATTGTATTTCTTCCATGATTACCTTGATATTTGCTTTTATTATAGTTGTAATGTACTTAGTTTTAAGAGTTGTGAAATGAAACGCATAACTTTTCTTTGATTCTTTAGGTCTTTAACAATCTTGATAAAGTCAGCCAATATTATCTCTAGATATATTATATAAAAATACTCATGAAAACAAGTTTTTATTTCCTTTAAACCATCAATAAAAATAAGTGGTAGTATAGAGAACTAATTGAATGTAGTTTTGATTAATAAAAAACCAAATAGCTTTACTTTCATAAAGAAATTAATAGCATTATCGTCATATTAATTAGTGGATTTGGTGACATCCTCCCTGTTAATTCATTATTTTATTAAAAAAAAATATATGAATCCTTTTATAAACTGATTAAAGTTGATTGATCCATTTAGGGCATGAATAATGACATGTAGGCTTTGTTACATATTTAATATCTTGCCTTGCCTCTCATAAATGTTCAGCTAGTTCAATATTATTAATCATTTTCTTTGGTTGTTGGTCCCTAATGAGTCATTAGAGTATAAAAGAATTGACATTGCCTTGTTTAGAGATAACCTATGAGGCATTGTATTGTTTAAATGCAAGTGAAGTTGCTTGTGGATAAGGATGTTAGGTCATGTAAATGGATTGAGACTATTTATACACCTCTAAAGTAGGTGACATCTCATATGTAATTGTATTTCAATGTTGATGAGGGTTATGGTTGTGCTTGTATAAGCATATGATACATTAGATATAGTTAAAGATTTTTATATATTTATATTAAAGTGTTTGTTATTATAAGATACTATGATACTTACTCTCTGAGTATTTGTATGAAAAATCGACAATACCTTAACTCATTCTAAATTTGAATAGGTTGATCAGCCGTAACATGCATGGTTTTATTGAAATTCATAATGTTTTATGGTAAGTTATGTTTATTATGTTTTCTATCTCTAATTAAATGAGTCTTAAATTAACATTAGATAAGTCTGTTTGTTAATAAAAGGACAATTTTTTAGGAGGAGCCATTAATGGTTGACTAGAGTTTAACAACAATGGTTATGATCACCTAACTACACCATTAATATCTAGAAAACAATATGCACAATGTTGAGTTGATGTAGGAATGTTATCGTATCCTTTAAAACTAGTGGATGCAATAATGTTTGGAACAATGCCACAGTTATAAGTTATATAAAGGGCAATATGACCAAGCTCGTATGCAACTATTTGTCGGCAAATAGAGTTAGGCAATGAAAAACAATGATGTAAAATGTTTAATTAGAGTTTCTGAACTAGCATATATGTTGGCAAGTGATTGTCAAATTTTTCATAACCATGTACTTAACTCATGTTAATTACATGTACCAATTGTTTATGAATCATAATAGTGGCATTTTTACGAGTTTATTTTCTAGCGATCATGATGACTAATATGTTAATATGTTAATAGGTCTCATCGAATGTTTCAATATGATAAATAATATAGATTAATACATAATATATTCTTTCTTTCTTTCTTCCATCAAAGAGAGACTATAACTAGAAATTGAGCCTTATACATAGGCAAATATCAACCTTGAATCAAATGGAGCACATAGTTTCTTACTTAGGAGCATATAATT